CTCTAACCGCCGGCTTCAATCACCGATCACAAAACTTAACTTACCCCCAACCAGTCACCTTTTGTGAACATTCGGGAAAATGTACAAGTCATTTTAATCAATGAACCAGAGTGAACAATAATTCAGGCAAGAAAAAATAAACGGGAAATCATTGGCAGTTTGAAAGTTTTGGTGTACACAAAATGGCGACTGGCGGGGAAGCGTATGATTGCTCACAAAATAACAGTAAAAGAGACGTCACCATTTCGTGGGGCAACAAAAGGTATCTTTTATGTGACATTATGAAACATCGATAAAGAGAAAAGGTTCGATGAGAGAAATATTAGTTGTATTATTAAAGATATTAGCTATTAGAAAACGAGTCAAACAGTATAATTTAAGCAGAATTATTCTCCTGTTGAACATAGTTTGTAACGTGATGTCGAAAGGGTTCAATTGATAACATTAAGTTTAACAAGAATATTTTCGATAAACCTTCGTTATCATTTGCGATACCAGGCCATTAAAGAGGATAGAGATGTTAGGCAATCTATAAACAAATTTTTGTCTTTTTGATCAAGGAAGATACATTAGAAATAGCTAAAAGAAATGACTAAGCAATGACTTCAAAAGTTTGTACATTATTGTATATTTCAGTGAATGTTCAAAGTGACATTATCCAAGTGGTGAACAGATATTTGTTACGATAACAAAAACATTCATTAATAACTTTTTATTTATTAACTCATCCTATTTACTCATACTCATATCAAAATGTTTACATGCTCGTTTAATGATACACCGAATTAATACTGTAGTGAATATTTACAACAAAGGAACAATATGTTGCTTAGATTTGATGTCTTACAAATAAACAAAATTTATTTAAATGTACATGAGCAGCCTATCCTCATCATACCTCTGTTACTATGAAAAGAAAGCAATTCTGTTCTAAAGAAGTTTCTGTTCGCGGTAAAGCACTTGTTAAATTAACATTCCTAAGTTAGAAGTTATTAAATGAAAGCAAGAAGAAACGATTAAACATCGATTGCAAGAAGACAAGATGTATGACAGTCAGCAGCAGGAGCAACCCAACATGCAAATTAGAAATTAGAGATACCAAAATCAAACAAGTACAACAATTTATCTGGGAAGTATTTTAACAGAGGAGAGAAAGGGCGACATTGATATCCGAAGGCGCATTGGGAAAGCGAATTATTACTTTCAAAAGTTAAGCAAAATGTTAAGAAGCATGAATATTTCGTTAGAAACAAAGAAAAGAGAACTGTACTGTTATGTAATATCAGTCCTCATATGGCAGTGAATGCTAGGAAATCTCCTCATAGGCGAAGAAGTGACTTGAAGTAACAGAAATGTAGTTCTATAGAAAGATGCTGAGAATAACATAGACAGAACATGTGAGCAACGATGAAGTTTTATAGGAAACTGAAACCAAAAAAACATGCTTATACTTAACAACAGAAAGAGGCAGTTAGCATTTCTAAGACACACAATGAGGATAGAGCATAGAAAATTTGATTCTCATGGGACAGATTGAAAACAAGAGGGGCAGAGCAAAATATGGCATAATCTACAATGAGGGGAACAAGGTTCAGAAGAGAATAACAAAAAGAAAACATTTACGAAGAGCTGCAAAGGACAGGAAATTGTGGAAAACCTTGATTATGAATGTCCCGAAGATACGACAAATAAAAGAATTTCGTATTTTCCGGATATTGTCAATTACGGCATAAAATCTCATTTGACCCTATTTGTGAATAGTTTGAATTGGAATAACTGAATTAATGTAATAATGTCAGTCTTCATAATCTCCTAAATATCTATGAATTTGATGCGTTCTCTGAGGATTTCGACCGATAATCCTAGTAAAAAAAGATTATCGAACAGAATCCTGATTTTAGTCTCATCAGAATTCAGCAGGATTACATTTATCTACTCTGTTGCTTAAAGAAATTTACACGGTTTAGTTACTTTTAAGAACACATAGAAACTATATAATCATAAAATCTTTAAAATAATTATTGTAAGAATCTATATAAATTTATTAAAATAGATATTTGGAAAATATCCAAAAAAAAAAGATTCATATTACATAAAGGAAAACTATTGGCCAACTAGTTTATGTTGTGGTGTAATGGATATCGGCTCGGAATTAGAAATCGGAGAGCCGTGTTCGAATTCCTGTCGAATTAGTTACATTCACTGAAATTTGGGAAAAGACATACATCCATCTCTTCTTCCCCCCCCCAGTTTTGGGTTGAATAGCAGAACAGACTGGGTCATATAGTCTACTGCAAAACGAAACGGCAACCTACTGTAGGAAAACCTTCTTCCTAGTCAGTGACATGATCGACCAAGCGTGTATGATGCATGGAAGTTAACTGACTAACTAAAATATCATTGTTGAGGATGGTTCACATTTTAGAGTAAATGCAAATTAAGCTGAATAGTATATTAATATTATTCAGCTTAAAGCCGAGAAGAGGCAAGCAATGACAGATAAACGAGAGCTAAAACAATCGAAAGAAGAGTGTGAAAAATAATATTTTAAAAAGTAATATTAACAGAATTCCAATGTAAAATGCGTGGTGGAAAATTATGAATGACAATTTTCTTTTGTAGTTTTGACAGTGACAATTAAGTGTCAGGTCGAAAAGTCCCTGAACATCGAAAGGCGCCAAATCAACTTGCAGGCTTTAAAAAAAAAGGTCAGATAATGCGAAATATATTTCATATTTTACTTGCGAAATAATGCGAACAACTAATTACATTTACGGTAATCAACGCTAAACATCGATTTTATCCGCGTCGAATTTTCTAATGTGCAGATGCTCTTAAAAATTTCTAAACTTTCCTTCAACTTCATACTCAATCTGCTGATAATTATATTATATTCATTCGTAAACGAAGATTTCTTTTTGTTTCAGCTAAGTAACTTGTATAACTTTGTGTCAGTATATGTGTGTGATGGCGTTCGTGTTGTTTGTTATAAGCCCTGACTTTGAGAAATCTACGTATTGAGGACCGAATTCCTTACAGTAATTAGTTTACTAACGAAGCTTTCAAACTGAGGTAACTAAAATAAAAGAATATATATGCGTGTACAGTTTATATGCAGACACAGAATCAATCATGGCTGTGGTCGAGGCTAAGATAAGAAGCAAGATTTGAATAGTGGTATCTAAGATTAGTCTCTTCATTTGGATGATTTACGCAGCACATTCTTCTTTTTATTTCTCTCCACTGTTTCTCTTTACACAGAGCTGAGTCCTATTTAGCAAATATCCTCATGCCATATGAGTTAGATACGGAAATGTACATTTAGAGTAGGTTTTAAAATACATATATTTATATAGATATTTATATAAACATAAGGCACATCAAGCTTAAAATTCTCCAGAACTCCCAACGGAATTTCTCCATTAATGGCCAAAGACTCTCCTGGGGGATTCCCGTAAGAAATCATAACAATAGTACCAAATTCTCGTTGCCAAATACGATTCCCTTTTGGTTAACCATATTATAAATCATCGTTGTCCTTTTTGGGATCTATTATCTGTTTATCACAGTCCATAACAAAACTAACGGAAATGGCTGATAATCAAATCTATTATTTTATTATAAGATACTTAGCAAGAATTTATCAGTTATGCAAATACATATAATTCGGTCGATGGGGATGTGTACGGGAAAAAAACGTATGGTTTCGTCGATAACATTAAATGGTGGCGACTTAGAGATAAGCGGTGCTAATCTTGTGTAATTCGCCAAGGGAAAAAGCAGTAACCAGTGCCAAGACCAGACACAGTTTAATTTCCGTGTCCGTATTCCCAAGTTTCGATTTTTGTCTTGTCGAAAACAAATAAATAAATGAAAATATATAGCTGGCAAACTTAATATTTTCATATCGCTGCTTTTATAAATGCAGCAGAAAATAATGCTTTTATCCAAAATTGAAACGAATCCCTTAAGTTTTTGCGCGCGCACACACACACTCATACACACACACACATACACACACACAAAGACATACACACACACATATATATATGGATAAATAAATATGGATGAATAAAAATATCATAAGGGTGGTTTAATAGTTGAGTATATTAGAATTATTTTATTCTTATAACATTTTTCATGCTATCAGCAACATAACAGATATTTGTAATATGTAAGCATCGTGAAAAGGATAATGTGAATTCATTTAGATCGAAGAAGAAAGAGGGTGAAAATTTGATATTGCGCATTTTTGATAATTATCCCCAATACTGTATATCAGTTCTGCCAAAAATATAAAACTATGACTGTTCGCATGTTTTGAAATGACTGCTACTGTTTGGAAAATGAGACAATGCTTTGCAGATGGTGCCCACACTCCATTTGCAATAATGGTGCTAAAATTATCATTTCTACTTGGACAGGATTTGATACCTCATAACATCCCAATGGAAAGTTTTGATAAAAACAGCAGTTGTAATGCAGCGTTTTTTTTTTTTTTCTGAAAACATTATTTTCTTAAGATATTATTTCATCCCGGTAAGCATCTAAATGTTTATTTATCTTCATGGGCGCTTGAATAAATATAACATAGGTGGCGTATTACTTTCAAAAATGACTATTTACAAGAACTCGCTGCTACAATATCAAAGTTTTATTTTATCGTCAATTTCCATCACAAATGCCCAAATAATAACCAGTTAAAAGATGTTAATCGACTCAACCTTCCACTCTTTTGATGTAAATCACGTAGTTTATGATACTTGTAATTATAAAAAAACTTATCTTAATAATGAAGCAAT